GTTTAAAGATCTTAAGAAAAAATACTATTTATAATCTTGTATTGGTATTTCACTTGACATCAAAATAAGAATTACATTCTTCTTTTAGTGAAAAACTCTTTTTTTTTTTTTACTATTCTCTATCACAAATAACCTTTTTAGATAAAAATGGTAAAAGGTACAATCTATTTTTTGTGCAACCAAATTTAGACCATTGGTTCATTACATTTTTATTTTGAATGGATATTGCATATGTTCCTTCCAATTGCAAAATCAAAAAATTGTACAATTTTTATTTCATTTACTAAATTTATTAGTGATTTTTAACCTAATAATTGGTTAAGTTACTTTCAATCATAATAGTTTAAAAATGTTGTTTCATTTTTAATTATTATTATTTCACGTACTTTTCTCTTAGTGTGAGTGGAAGGTTCGAACCTGAGATATCTATTAGTTTAAAATGTATAGAGATGGAAATGTAATATGTAAAATCCAACATTTGTCTAAATAATCTCATAATTGGAAAACACAAATAATAAATAGAGAAACCAAAGTATATCTTGGAGATAAAGAAAAAAGAACTCACAATAGTAATTTAGATTATATAATACATAGCCAAAAATATATGTGGATCAAAAAACTCCTTTTTTTCTCTCAAAATTTAAAGTCATGCGTATCATCAAGGTGTTAAGATTTGAAATAATTTAAATTTAGAAATGATGAGAATATAGTCTACAATCAAGATTTTGAAATTAACTCATTACATTTTAGGAATTAAAATAAATAAAAAAATCTATAAAAAAAAAGGAATTGAGAGCTTGGGAAGAATTTAAATTTTGAAATGATGAGAATATATTTACAATCAATACTTTGAAATCAATGCATTACATTTTAGGAATTAAAATAAATAGACAATCTACAAAAAAGAAACTGAGAGTTTGGAAATAATTTAAGTTTTGTATGATGAGAATATAGACTACAATCAAGCTTTTGAAATCAACTCATTAAATTTTGGGAATCAAAATAAATAGAAAAATCTACAAAAAAAAAAAGGAATTGAGAGTTTAGAAATAATTTAAATTTTGAAATGATGAGAATATAGTTTAGCAGCAAGATTTTGAAATCAATTCATTACATTTTAGGAATCAAAATAAATAGAAAATCTATTAAAAAAAAGGAATTTAGAGTTTGGAAATAATTTAAATTTTGAAATGATAAGAATATAGCCTATAATCAAATTTTGAAATCAGCTCGTTACATTTTAAGAATTAAGATAAACAGAAAATCTGCAAAAAAAAAAAAAGGAATTAAGAGTTTAAAGATCTATAATGGATTCTAACCAAAAACTGCTTCTGTAATTTATATAGATAGATATAGATTATTTGTAATCTATTAGTATTAGGACGAGGCTTAATTACTGCACGGACGGTTGTGCTGGCGATGCATGTCTCTGCGAGGTCGCCACTTGCTGTGCTATAGAACATAGCAGCAGCTTTATATCCCTGTTCATCTCTTTTGGAAGGTTATGTGACTAAACAATAAATACTGCTCCTTTCCTTCGCCCCATCTCATTCAAAGTATCATATTTTTTGTTTTGATAATATATCAAAAGATAACAAATATCAGCGACCACTAAATTATTTATCAAATTATATTTTATCCATCAAACTATTTTTCATTAATAATTGACCACTAAACAATTTAATCAGTAAATTCGTAATCATTTAGTAAATAATTGCTCTTAATCTGTGAAATTAGCAGTACATGTGGTAAAGTACGAAGGCAATTTTATCCAACAACTACGTGACCGTATTTCATAGATTAACTGCTAATTTCATAGATTAAAAGTAATTATCGACTAAATGGTTACAGGTTTACTGATCATATTGTTTAATGGCTTGGTCAATTACTAATGAAAAATAGTTTGATGGCAAAAATATGATCCGATCAATAGTTTAATGACCGCTAAAATTTTTTACCCTATAAGAAAATATTTGCCATTTCATGAAAGTCAAATTTACTTGTAATTTTGGAAACAAATTCGCTAACATCACCGTCAAATCACTATTTTTAAAACGTTGAAATCTTGAGATGCGACGACCAATTTGAGACGAAGGATAACGAGGCTCCAACAATTGTACTGCTGCTCGAACAACGGGTTTGTTTGGATTGAGCATTATTTACCCAGTTTTATTTGCTTACATCATCATTACAATTTCCAATACACTTTTTTACCTTTTCAATTACCTTTTTATCTCACATACATCACATCACAAAAAGTGTTATAGTAAAAATATTTCAAATAATCTCAAATAACTTACAATCCAAACAAAAAAGTTGTAGTATCTTATTATGCATCATTTGTATGACAGAGAGTCAATTAGCAAGACTCACACGAACAGTAACTGAACATCGTACCTCTATTATGAATTATACCAAAAATAAAAAATGAATTATAATAATTTGTTCAAACTGTATTTCATCGTTTTCGAGGAAACAGCAGCAATAATCAGCTGGAAAATTAATTTCAGTCTATCCATCTATATAGGTCTTATTTATTTACCTACCTGTCAGCATCTATTATCTAGGATTGACTTTGCTGCTTTCCTTATCTATTTAATCAATTAGACGTTGACTGGTCTTTTTAGGAAGATAGCATGCGTGGCAGTGTCGACTTCTTTTTATCCACACATGCTGACTAAGACATTTTCCTATGATGCAGGTAGCATTAGTGGTCAGTTTTACTGCTGATGAATAGTTTAGCAGTCTCACAAATAATTCAGATTTTCCTCTAATTTGATCCACTTAATTTTATGCTGCTCTATCCAATCAAATACGATGAGCCAGCAGTGACTTCGAAATGGAGGAGATTTTGTTGTAATTTGTTTCATTATTGATGTGGTCGAGATGAAAGAAGCTGTCATAGTTGTAGTTAATACTATAATGGTTTGTTTTGTATTTATTTGTGAATGGACAAGTTACCAAAGAATAGAGACACACATAATCATCGTCTTATTTAGCCTAATCCATGGCAGTACGAATAGCACCTAATATGTTCGTCTGCATTAAGTTGGATCCTATTAGTGAAAATGATCTTGATGAGTCCAAATATATTGCTGGTGCAGGATTTGAAATTAATAGGCTCCTTTCTATCTACAACCCTAAGTAGTACAAAAGACATGGAGACATTCTTTCCTTTTCTTTCTTTTTTTTTTTCCAGGTAATTTAGAGTTTGGGTGGGTTTAGTTCTGATCACCGTCACGGGTTATGACATATCTTGGGAATCATAGGCAATTGATAAGAATTCTTACAAATTGCTAATCAATATAATTTTCATATTAATAATAAAATTCGAATACACGATATTTTGTGAGGATTTGACCGACCGCTATCAATTAAGTCAACTTGTGGTTACCTTAGACTTTGACATCAGTCACTTTTGTTTGTATGAAGTATGAAGACTTGCATAGAGATGAAGAGAAGCAACGTAGACAAAAGTCCACTATACATGGATTGAGCAACTATGTAATTATTAAAAGGCAATTGTATGGCATGATTCATAATGTAATTTTTAAATAATGATAAATTTCGTCATGTCTTTTTTAAATTCAGGGAAATGTTACTGATACTTTACTTTTTGTTAATCACATTTTTACTATAATTTTATTACGTGATTATCATATACTAAACTATATGATAAAACAAATAGTGAAAACGAGATTAAAAAAAAAGGTAAAATACGAGCAATATATATATTTTTTATTATTTTAATATCTACATTTGTTATGTCAGCGTAAACGTGTATGGGTACGATATGGTGATAGTGCCTATAATGTACAGTGCATTTAAGACTTGACAATTGTACAAGTTGAAATCCACTGTGCATCCTACAAACCACGAAAGCTACAGTCTCAACCTTGAATTCTCACACTTGGAATTGAACCAGCTGTCTCTCATTTTGTTGGTGAGTCATAAAAGATGTCAAGATGACACTCCTGAAATTAGCCGCTAGAGGTGAAATTAGCAGCACAAGGAGACGAAATAGTCAATGCAGCCGTTACGAATTTACTTATCATCTGCTGAAACGCTTCCATATTTTTATCTGTACCTTTCACTCTCTGACTCCAAATCCTACCAAACGCCATCTGCCTATCTGGAAACGCCTCACTAAACAATCATGCCCACAGAGTGAAATGAAATGAAATGAAACCTCCACAAATCAAATATGACTCCTTTCATCAAAAGAATTATGTTAAACACTTGTCGTGTCATACAAAAATGGTAGCTAGTGCTACTAAATCACGACTCAATCAATGAAAGATATCAATCTTGTCAATTTAGATGTGACAATCCTCAACTAAGTATTACTGCTTCATTAAGGAAAAGATGCAACATACATCTAAATCCTCAATTAAGTATCACTGCTTCATTAAGGAAAAGATGCAACATAATCTAATCTTTAAGTAAACATCATGTCCCCAACCCCAAAGTGAAACGAGGCTTTTCACAAATTGAATATGACTAGTTTCATCAAGAATTATGCCTGGAATGCACGTTATTTATCTATCTTTTATTCACACGCACACTGACTTGTTTGCATCGTCAATATATTTTTTAATTACTTTTTTATCTCATATACATCACATCAAAAAAGTGATGCAGTAATTTTTTCACAAAATTACCTCATATAATTTACAATCCTAACACAGTCTAAATTATTACGGTTCATTTTATCATAAAAATGGTAGCTAGTACTACTAAATTGCAACTAAATCAATCTAATGTATAAATCAAGTGTAGTATCTGTTCTTATCTAAGATATAAATCGAGTCAATTTAGAGACCATGTCAATCCTCAATTAAGTACTATGTGATGTAAATGCTATATATATATATATATATATATACACACACACACACACACTCACAGAGGGGCTCTGATTCACAATCATTGAATCCTCAATTAGCCTCTTGGCTACCAGCCGAAAGCTTTTCACTTTGTAATACTCGCATCCTACTAAAGATAATCAAATCTTGAATTCTTGATAAAGACACAACTATTCTCTCCTTTCTCCGTTGTCTCTAAAGTCCACCACTTTATATAGCGTGAACCCCAGAGATCAGAATAGAACTAGAAGCATCAGATCATATCCTCAAGACGACATCATCCATCCGCATTAAAACTCATATTCGTCTCCGCCGTTTCAACCTCACTTTTTCATTCAATCCAAATGGCCTTTTCACTCCCATCATCACAGCCACAGCTATCACCACCGCAGCCACCGCCACCACAACCACTACTACCAGAACCAACCATCACCATCACCACCACCATCACCCCCACCCCCACCCCACTGAATCAAGAAGCACAAGAAGACAAAACCGAATTCATGCACAAAAGCACAAACAACAGACGTTACATACAGCTGCTAGCCATCAACTACTTCTGTCTCTTTGTTGGCTCCGTTTCATCAGCACTCCTCTCCAAATTCTACTTCAACCACAAGGGCGGAAGCCGGTGGGTTTCCACATGGGTGCAGTCCGCCGGCTTTCCGCTGCTCCTCCTCCCCATTTACCTCCCCTATTACCTCTTCAAATGCACGGACAGACGGCCCTTTTCCCGGTTCACGCCGAAACTTTTGTCACTGTCCGTAATCATTGGATTTCTGTTGGGCATCAACAACTTACTTTTCTCGTGGGGAAATTCATATCTACCCGTCTCAACCTCTTCCTTGCTTCTCTCCTCCCAGCTTGCCTTCACTCTCATTCTCGCCGTAATCATCGTAAAACAGAAGATCACCTTCTGTAACCTTAACTGCGTCGTCCTTTTAACTCTGAGTTCAGTTCTGTTAGCCCTCGGATCAAAGCATGACAAAGCACAAGGTTTAACCAAAGCAAAATATTTCATAGGGTTCTTTTCAACCATCGGGGCCGGGCTATTATTCGCTCTTTATTTACCAGTAATGGAGAAAATTTATCGACAAGTTTACTGCTACGCTATGGTGATGGAAATGCAAATGATTATGGAAATCGCGGCGACGGCTCTGGCAACGATAGGGATGGCGGCTGATGGGGGATTTTCCGAAATGAAAAATGAGAGTTTTAAGGTTTTTGATCTGGGGCCGAGAGCTTACTGGCTGACGGTGTCTTTTAACATTGTAACGTGGCAGTTGTGTTTCATGGGGACGGCGGGGATGGTGTTCTTGACAACGTCGTTGACAGGGGGGATTTGCATGACGGCCCTTTTGTCCATGAATGTTTTGGGGGGTGTTTTGGTGTACCGGGATCAGTTTAGTGGGATGAAAGCTGTGTCTACATTGCTGTGTGTTTGGGCGTTTTCATCCTATGTGTACGGGATGTATATGAAGATGGAGGAAGAGAAGGAAAGGGTGAGAGAGAATGAGAAGATTTGTGGTCATCATCATCATCGTCATCATCATGATCATAATGATGATAATCATCATCAAGGGTTCTTGGAGATGGCTGAGATTGTTTCACAGGGCGGCTGATGGGAATCATGGGATGATGAGTAGTAATGATTTTCTTGTAGCTAGGCAGCGTTGTATTGAAGGCTCTAGACTTAAGTGCATGTAATTATCATGGAGAAAAATGTTAGTGGTAAATGACAGTACCATTAATTACTCAAGCCTAGAAGAACAACTATTGTATCTAGTCTTTGCAGTTTGAGACGTGGTACAATTATTATCCTTTGATCAGTAAATGTTGCAATTAGTAGATTATTGCTATTTATCTTTTCATCATTTGATCAGAACTAGTTCTTCTTCATTCCAAAGAAATTTAAAGAATGAATGAGTAGAAATGTTCAATCGAACTTCTAATTTCGAACCATTTACTGCAACCTTGGAGATTTCGAGTATTGCAACTTTAATAAGGCTGCATAATAAACTGTACTTTTCTTTCCATCATACTGAACTGATATATGCAATTGTTGAATAATATTAGTACTACACACATGTAGACATATGTATATATAACAATTCAATTCAATGTACTTGTACTATCGAAGTATTTAGAAACAAAAAATGCAGGATAATCAAGTACAAAGCCGCCCCTCGGGGTCAGCTTAGCCGGTGAATCCTCAGGGGTATTTTTCGTGGGGCGCGATTCGAGTCTGGCTTCACATATCATCTGGGTGCTCTTGGGGGGCGGGGTACTCTAGATCCAGAGAGATTAGTCTGGCAAAATTAGAATACTCTCTGGGTTGACAAAAAAAAAAAAAAAGTATCATTTGAAGATAACTTCAACATTCTAAAGGGGGAAAAATAACTTTAAATATCTAATCTATAGCTAAGATTGTAATGACTATGTCATAAATTTGCAGTTGAATCTCGGCAGCTTGTTCATTACATGGACAGCTTTTGATGCAATTCATCTTATGTGACACGTCTATGTACATCTGATTTAAGAATTGAACCCCACAACCGCAAAGAAGAAGAAAGAAGAAAATTGCCATTTAAAAGGCCAGTTTTGCATAAAATGCAAAGTTTTTGTAATTAGTGATAATAGGAATGGGAAGTTGACTTTTTTACAGGGAAAAAAAATGGCACAAACGATATAGTACATTTGCGTGTGAACCTACGCATCCTCGAAAATTTTGATCCATTTGTTTATGAAGATACTGAGAGGACTTTTGATCAATTTTGCTATTAGTAGAGCATAGATCTAATGGAAATCTTGCAAAGCTTTCTTTAATAAAGCGCTGAGCTCTTTAATGCCTTTAATTTATTGAATCCAGCACATCTTGATTGGAATAAGCAACTTGTATTTGTTGAATCGTAATTATATGTGTCTTCTTTTATCTTTGCTTTCACTTTTGTCAGTGTGTTATGAGATTGCATAGATCACCTTCCACAAATGCACAACCACTTCTCTCAGTTAAAAAAATCAGATTAATTTTTTATGCACCGACACACATACAGTGTAATGATTTTTTTACACTAGTAGCTATGGATGTATGCGATACACTAGTAGCTATGGATGTATGAGATATGTGCGTGACTTGAATTTCGAATTTGAATTCATATTGTGTAATATGATTTAAGCCTGTTAGTGTTAAAAAAAATTTATATACGCTGACAGTTTATAAAAACTATACCCTACAAAACTATGCTTTCGCCAACTCGGTTTGAAAACTTTAACGTCTAGTTCCAAGTACATTAGGCTCCATGAATTTTAGTTTGCATGTGAGAGTGAAGACAATTTTTTGTTGGAAACAATTCTTGATAGTTAGCAGCAAAGGAAATGCATCACTAATGTACTTTTTGGGTCAACACATGAGTAACGCTTAGATTTACACTAGTCGCGATTGTAAAACCAATCATACTTGTGCAGTTAATTTTAATTTGACTTTCACAGCACAAAGAAGCCATTAATTTGAATTTCCTTTTATCTCAAGAAGTTAGCATAATTATAAAGTGTGTAAACAAGCACTAAAACAAGAATTAAGGTGAAGAGTACGTCCTCCCATAACTTAATTAGCATTAACTTTTTCCACCTTCACCTGCCCCCAACTAAAGAAAGGGACAAAAATAAAAAGAAAAAGAAAAAAGGTTCAAAATGATGCTCTCCCAAATCGACATTGCAAAGCCCAAAAACAAAAATTGTTCTGTGCCGGTTCAAAACATCCCACAAGTCAAAGGAATGAAGATTCGACCGACCGTCTTTATTGAGAAATGTTTCTTTCCAACTTTTTTCTAGTCCAAAGGGAAAAGAAAATGAATTGATATAACTGTACCATTTTTTGGTCAGTTTAGTTGAAAAAAGGTGGACAGTGAAAATGATATACAGTTAGGCTGATAATTTGAGCTTTATTTAATATGATTCAAGTCATGCATTGACTGACATAAGGGTTTGGTAAAACTTGACATTTATTGGCTTAATTAGCTGCTAGTGATTTTCGTGGATCTAACATGTGAATTTGGTTGTTCCCTCTCTAAAAAGTTGAAACTTAATTAATAACAAGCCTCACTAATCGACAGACAAAAATAAAGTGATTTTTCCCTCAACTTTTCATGACAAATATATAAATCCACAGATCTATACATCTATTAATTTCGTCGGAAAAAAAAAAAGACGAACACAGTTCTCCGGCTAGCTTCAATGATTTTAATTAACAATAACTTGGATATTATTGACAAAATTAACAAGGCCATAGAATCTAATTATGTTTCTCTGAGCATCGAGGAAGGAAAAGAGAGAGAGAGAGAGACGAGTGAAGGTTGAACACAGCATATATATATAATTTATGAGCACAAGTCAATCTTATTTAGCTGATCTTTATCTTGTCAGGAGCAAAAAGTATATATGATTAGGCATTTGTTGATTTGTTAATTTGAAAAATGGAGAAGAAAACTCCTCAAATAATTATCAATCTAAACAGTGCTAATTATGATAAACTTGACAGCATGATAGGTACTTAAGACCAACAGTTCCATTCTTAATTCCACTTTAACCACTCTAATCATTTTATAAGGAATTTCTACAAAAATTGCCATCATAAATGTTTTCTTCTACACAAGAGAAATAGACCCAACAACAGGAAATATACTAATACCTATATTACCGTCTTTGTAGACAAACCACTTGTGATGTATATGTTTGTAGAAATGCTTATCCTTTTCCTTTCTCTTTCTGCATGCAAAACAAAGTCATATGTAATGTAGTACTACTTTCCACCACAATAATAAACAATAACATAAGTTTAGAAAGAGGATTTAAAAAAAAAAAAAAAAAAGTCTTGGCCTTTTTTTTTTTTTTCCTTTCTACAATAGGAGGGTTTCTATCAACTTCCACCCAAATAAATGATGGTTGAGCTAAGCCGCCAGTAACATGGATTATGGGGAGTGATTGCCTTGTCGATTTCATACATGTCTTTTTTGAAGTGAGAACTCACATCTCCAAAAATCATACATACTTTTTGTTTCTCATAGGCTTTAAATAACTTTTCAATACGAGCGGTCGGCCGGCCAAATAAGAAAGTCCCAGAAACTAAAAGACATAATTATTAGTGCAAAGATTTAGATGAAAGCACAATCATTTGAGCTAGAAAAGCTTTTAGTTATAGTGGCTAACCCAAACAATTTGTTTGTATTGAAATTTCCAATTAGTCCCACTTTGTACTTTTCCCTCGAGCAAAACAAATTTGGATCACCTATATATCAATGGAATTAATTATCTCGAAATTTATTAATCTTCAATCAGCAGTACTGGAAGAATATATTGGGTTCTAATTAAGTATATATGATGGTGCCTGTGGAACTAAAATCTTTTGTCAATGAGAAGAACACTATCCAATAATGACCAATATTACGTACAGAAATTATAACTAAAGGATGCTCGTGGATGTTGTGATAAAATTAAACTCAGCCCTACAAAATTTATTTATTTTGCATGTAGGGTCGTCTAAATTAAAAGTGAATCTTAAGATTTGACATGTCTAAGAGCTATAGCAAATAAAAATTGATTATTTGTGCATAACAAAAAAAAAATATATATATATATATATTCTTATACATCATAGTGCAATAGCTAGCTTATAAGTTAATAGGAGGGTTTGGATTAATCACTGCACAGGTTATCAAATATTCCTGAGTGGGCATGAAAGTCCCTCTACATATGTTCTTTAATGATGACTGAGGAAAGCAATTAAGACCAATAACATCCAAAAGATTAAACTTAGTGCACATTGATTTATTAACGTTCAAATTTCAATCAACAATTAATTGTGGCGTACGTACATTTATGTGGTGTGGTACCCCTTTTTCCCTATCTGAGTTCTCTCTTTTATTTATTTATTTCTTTTTTTTTTTGCATATTGCTTTTTCTGCATTAAAGGGATTCCTTTGGAATTACATGCCCGGCCTTCTTGTGATCATTGTGTTCACGATCTCAATGCCTAGCCAAAAGGAAAAATAATTACACATTATAGCTAATACCTTTAATTAGGAAAGACTTGTTATATATAGCAATTTTATATCATGCCACATATTAAAGAAATCCCTTGAAGCCTTATTCAGTCATGATCATATATATATATATGGAAAATTTTTGTGTATCAAAGGATGAAATTGCTTCAAACTGATTGTAGATAGAGCATAAATTGTTGATTAATAGATGCTCAATTACAATCTCAAGGAAATAGCTATATGTTTCATTGGGGGAAATACCTTTTCTATGAAATGTTTTTTTTTTTTAACTAGAAAGTGGAACAAATTTAGCTGTTCCTCGTGGCACAAGGATACAACTTTCCAACCCAAAAACAGCAAACGAGAAACAATGGATAGGGTTTAATCATTATCGGAGCCACTATAGGCACTTAGACATCTACATATGAACCTTCTCATGACCATCAGAAAATTGACATCCACATACATATATATGTATATAACCAGATTAGATACTCATAGTCAACTGATTTATATAACCAGAAAATTGACATCCACTACTGTGGGTAGATTCGACTTGATAATTAATCTGATCACACGATTAAATGTATAATATGGTGCTCATATCTCCCGTAATAGGGATTTTATTTGTCTTGTATCTGATATAACCAGATTTTCCATACGGAAATTTTTAACTAAAGAGGGGGAAAAAAACCCAGATTTTTCATATACTTCAAGGACAGAAAAAGGTGTAAATATTCAAAAAACACTACAAGTTTGGCGTTGCAAGCATTCAAGTATGTGACTAAGTGGAATTAAACTACTAAGCATCTGAGCGTTGTATGT